GAGGGTGGTGAGGTGGTGGGGTGGTGAGGATTCGGTGAGGAATGGTGAGGTGGTGAGGATGGGTGAGGGTGGTGAGGGGTTTGTGCGGATGTGAGGGTGGTGACGATGGTGAGGATGGTGCGGCGTGGTGAGGGTGGTGAGCGGTGCGTTGAGGATGGTGGAGGGTGGTGAGGTTGGTGAGGATGGTGAGGGTGTTAGAGGGTGGTGAGGGTGGTGAGGCTGGTGTGAGGGGGTGAGGGTGGTGAGTAGGTGGTGAGGGTTTGTGCCGTGGTGAGGATGTGAGGGTTGTGAGGATGGGAGGGTGGTGAGGATGGTGAGGATGGTGAGGATGGGAGGGTGGTGAGGGTGTGAGATGGTGAGGGTGGTGAGGGTGGTGTGAGGGTGGTGAGGGTGGTGACAATGGTGAGGCTGGTGAGGTGGTGCGGATGGTGAATAGGTTTCGTGAGGATGGTGCTGATGGTGAGGGTGGTGAGGGTGGTGCGGATGGTGACGATTGGGAGGGATGGTTGAGGGTGGTGCGGATGCGTGAGTGTGGTGAGGGTGGTGAGGGGAGAGGGGGGGCCGATGGTGAGGATGTTGAGGTGGTGAGATCTGCAGCGGGTGGTGGGGTGGTGAGGATGGTGAGGTTGGTGAGGGTGGTGAGGGTGGTGAGGGTGGTGAGGATGGTTGCGGGGGTGGTGAGGGGTTGTGAGGGTGGGTTGACTGCTGGTGAGATGTTGCAGGGTTGGTGAGGGTGGGAGGGTGGTGCGGCATGTGAGGGTGGTGAGGGTGGTGAGGGTGGGTTTGGACGATGGTTGGCGTGTGGTGAGGGTGGTGAGGATGGTGAGGGGGTGGTGAGGAGTGCGTGAGGTGGTGACGAGGGTGAGGGTGGTGAGGGTGGTGAGGGTGGTGAGGGATGGTGAGTGTGGTGAGGGTGGTGAGGGTGGTGACGATGGTAGAGGCATGGTGAGGGTGGTGAGGGGTGGTGAGGGGTGGTGACGATGGTTGAGGGTTGTGAGGGTGGTGAGGTTGGTGAGGGTGGTGAGGGTGGTGAGGATGGTGAGGTTGGTGAGGGTGGTGAGTTGGTGGTGAGGATGGTGGGTGGTTGAGGGTGGGAGGGTGGTGAGGGGGTGGCTGTACGATGGTTCGAGGGTTGGTGAGGGTGGTGAGGGTGGTGAGGGTGGTGAGGGTGGTGAGGGGGTCTAAGGGGGTAATCGAACCCTGAAAAAGGCAGGCAGGGTGGTGACGATGGTGAGGGTGGTGAGGGTGGTGAGGGTGGTGAGGGTGGTGAGGGTGGGGTGAAGATGGTGAGGATGGTGAGGGTGGTGAGGTGGTTTGACGATGGTGAAGGACTGGTGAGGGTGGTGAGGGTGGTGAGGGTGTGAGGGTGGTGAGGGTGGTTGCGAGTGTTGATGATGGTTTGAGGGTGGTGGGATGGTGCGAGGGTGGTGAGGGGGTGAGGATCGTGCGGGTGGTGGTGGTGGTGAGGGTGGTTGACGATGGTTGAGGTTTTGAGTGTGGTGAGGGTGGTTCGATGGTGATGATGAGTGAGGGTGGTGAGGGGTCGGGAGGGTTGTGAGGATGGTGAGGGTGGTGAGGGTGGTTGAGGTGGTGAGGGTGTGAGGGTCGGTGAGGGGATGTTTAGGGTTGAGGGGGTGGTGAGGGTGGTGAGGGTGGTGAGGGTTGTGACGATGGTGAGATGGTGAGGATGTGAGGGTGGGAGGCTGGTGGACGATGGTGAGGCTGATGAGGGTTGTGAGTGTCGGTGACGATGTGAGGCGATGGTGAAGGGTGTGTGGGGGTGAGGTGGGTGCCATTGTGCGGATGGTGAGGGTGGTTGAGGGATGGTGGAAGGGGCTAGGTTGAGGGGTGGTGAGGGATGGTGAGGGTGGTGAGGGTGTGAGGGTGGTGAGGGTCTTGGTGACGATGGTTGCCGGTGGTGAGGATGGTTGCCGATGGTTGAGGATGGTGAGGGTGGTTGAGGGTGGTGAGGGTGGCCGTGCGGCCTGGATGAGGTTGGTGGTGACGATGGTGAGGATGGTGAGGATGGTGAGGTTGGTGAGGATGGTGTGACGATGGTGAGGATGGTTGAGGGTGGTGAGGGTGGTGACGATGGTGAGGATGGTGAGGGTGGTGAGGGTGGTGAGGGTGGTGACGATTGTGAGGATGGTGAGGGTGGTGAGGATGGTGCGGGTGGTGAGGGTGGTGAGGATGGTGAGGTGGTGAGGGTGGTGAGGGTGGTGAGGGTGGTGACGATGGTGACGGTGGTGAGGATGGTGACGATGGTGAGGATGGTGAGGGTGGTGAGGTGGTTTGGTGAGAGGTGGTGAGATGGTGAGGGTGGTGAGGGTGGTAACAATGGTGAGGATGGTGAGGGTGGTGAGGTGGTTGAGGTGGTTGAGGTGGTGATGAGGATGGTGAGGGTGGTTGAGGGTGGTGACGATGGTGAGGATGGTGAGGGGTGGTGAGGGTTGGTGACGATGGTGGTGAGATGGTGAGGGTGGTGAGGATGGTGACGATGGTGAGGATGGTGAGGGTGGTGAGGATGGTGAGGGTGGTGAGGATGGTGACGAGTGGTGAGGGATGGTGAGGGTGGTGAGGATGGTGAGGGTGGTGAGGGCTGGTGACGATGGTGGGATGGTGGGTGGTGAGGTGGTGAGGGATGTGAGGTGGTGAGGAGTGGTGGACGATGGTGAAGGGTGGTGAGGATGGTGAGGGTGGTGAGGGTGGTGAGGATGGTGAGGGTGGTGAGGATGGTGACGATGGGAGGATGGTGAGGGTGGTGACGATGGTGAGGATGGTGAGGATGGTGAGGGTGATGAGGGTGGTGAGGATGGTGAGGATGGTGAGGATGGTGAGGGTGGTGAGGATGGTGAGGGTGGTGAGGATGGTGAGGATGGAGAGGAACATGACTGTGGTCTAAGGGGGTAATCGAACCCTGAAAAAGGCAGGCTGGGGTGAGCCACCTCGCTCCCCAGGACAGAGGGCGGCCATGGCTTCTGAGGGTCTGGTCAGTCGCCTTCCTGTGTGGCAGACGCCCACCCGCACGCACCGGACTGGCTAGGGCTCAGCCTTGAGGCTGGGGAGAGCCACCTGGCTCCCCAAGACAGAGGGCAGCCATGACTGGAGCCTGGATCCTGGAGGAGGTGGTGTCTGGAGGGTGAGGCTGCATTCAGAGTGGAGGAAGGGAGGGGGTGCAGGATCCAGGCGGGGGGGTGGGGGTGGGGAAGGGGGGAAGTGTCCCAGGAGGAAGAAGGAGCAGGTGGGGAGATGGGGAAACCATTTCTTCACGTTGCCCAGGAGAGACCTCGCCCACCCACCAAGCAGCAGCCTGTGAGGCAACAGGGAGCTGAGGCAAGCCCAGCCTCCGGGCCCGGGCAGGGGGGCCAGTCGGGCTGCATAAAGGGGGCCCTGCGTGCTGGGGGGACTCCACTCGGGGACATGGCGACCCAGAGGAACAGCCTGTGCTGGGGGCGCTGGCCGCTGCTGCTGCTGCTGCTGGGCCTGGCCATGCCCCTGCCTCCAGCCGCCGCCCGGGCCCTGAGCTACCAGGAGGCGGTGCGCCTGGCTGTGCAGGGCTTCAACCAGCGCTCCCGGGAGGCCAGCCTCTACCGCCTCCTGCAGCAGGACCCCCAGCCCCAGGGCGTGAGTGGGGGGGCGGGAGGGGCTCTGCTCTGGCCTCCTGCCACTCCCTTGGCTTCTGCTTGGCTGACCTCAGGGCGGCTGCTCCCTCCAGGGGTCCCCCCTCCTCCAGGGCACCTGCCAGGGCTGTGTTCCCTCCCAGGGGCCGCCCCCCCCTGCGAATCTATTCTGTGCAATGTGGTCCCCCCCAACCCCCCACTCTGGCTTCAGGGCTTCTGGGTCCCAAGGAAGAGCAGGCCATGGGGCTGGGCTGTGACTCCCTGCTTTATTTATTTATTTATTTTTAATCTTTTTTTTTTTTCATTTCATTATTATTATTAGTTTAAAATCCTCACCTGAGGATATTTCTCCATTGATTTTTAGAGACAGTGGAAGAGGGAGGGAAAGACGGAGAGAAATATCGATGTGAGAGACACATCTATGGGTTGCCTCATGCACGAGCACACCCACTGAGCCACACCGGCCAGGGCTAAATAGATTTTTTTTTTTAATAAATTTTATTGATTTTTTTTTTTTTTTTTTTACAGAGAGGAAGGGACAGAGATAGAGAGTTAGAAACATCAATGAGAGAGAAACATTGATCAGCTGCCTCCTGCACATCTCCCACTGGGGATATGCCCACAACCCAGGTACATGCCAGGTTTCGGCCTAAATAGATTTTTATTGATTTCAGGGAGGAAGGGAGAGGGAGAGAGAGAGAAACATCCATGATGAGATTCATTGATCGGCTGCCTCCTGCACGCCCCCTCCTGGGGAAATCGCCTGCAGCCCGGGCAGGTGCCCTTGACCAGGAATTGAACCCAGGACTGAAGGTGCCCTGAGGCAAACGGACGAGGGCACGGCCCTGCTTTGAGTGTCCTGAGCTCATCTGCCTCCCACACAGGAGGCCCCAGGAGGCCCTGCGCCCCGGGTTCCCTTGGAGCTGGGCGGGCTCTGCCCTCTCCCCCGTGCCCACACCCAGCACCAAACCAGCGCCAGGGACATGGCAGGGGCTGCTGAAGGCTGTTCTCTTTGGGGGGCGGTGAGACCAGGGAACCAAGCAGAGGCCCAGCCCTGGTCTCCCCACTTTCTCTCCCGCCAGGACCTGAACCCAGACACCCCGAAGCCGGTGAGCTTCACCCTGAAGGAGACCGTGTGCCCCAGGACCACGCGGCAGCCCCCTGAGCAGTGTGACTTCAAGGAGAACGGGGTGAGCTGGGGGCTGGGGCGCCCCGAGGTGCTGGACAGGAGGCCTTGGGCACATTCCCAGGAATGGGGCGGCTGGGAGGGCTCAGCACCGGGTGGAGGTGTGACCTGCGCCCTTGCAGCTGGTGAAGGTGTGCACGGGGACCGTCACCCTGGACCAGGACACCGGCTACTATGACGTCGACTGCGAGCAGGTGAGCGGCCCCTTCTGAGACATGGGGGCCGATGGGTGTGGCGCCTGGAGCATCCTGGGCCCAGGCATCCCCCTCCCCTCCTCCCCCAGCCCCAGCCTGGATCTGAGTGCGGTTCCTGCCCAGGAGCCTGTTAGAAAGGCCCCCTCCCAGCCCCCCGACCAGCAGCCTCAGACTCCGGGTGAGGCCAAGCAGGGGGCAGGCAGCCACCTTCCAGAAGGTTCCTGCTGAGGCTGGGGAGCCGCTCACTGCGCTGATGAGCTTTCAGCCCGTCTCTCCTCTGCTTTGCTGGACGGGCCTGTGACCTGGGGAGGCCACTGGGCACCTCTGGGCCTCAGTCTCCTCATCTGTTTAAGGGGTGGGGGCTCCACCACAGGCTCCCAAGGTCGCAGCCAGAGGGGGAGCCGGGCCCCAAGGCGCCTCGCTGGCCCGGGAAGGGGGTGCAGGTGGGGGCTCCTGATCCGGCCCAGCCCCGCATGGAGCCCATTTCCTCCCCCTGCACAGATCAAGGGCGTTGGATTGAACCCCTTGATTATAGGAGGCACATTGCCTGGGAGACGTAGAGGCTGGATTGGGAGAGGGATCCAGAAGGCTGGCAGGGGAATCAAGAGGATTTTCTCGAAACGTTCCCCTGAGGAGGAGCCCTGAGGTCTGTTTGGCCCTGGCCCCGGCCTCTGGGCTCTGACCAATAAAATCTGGGAAAGCCACCTCCTCAGGCGTCACTGTCACTTGCCTCGCCTTCTCTGGATTGCCGCAGTGAAGCCGTGCGGATCTGTGTGTCTCTTTTCCTGAAAATCAGTAAATCGGGGGCGGGGGGGGGGGGTGGGGAGCTTGGGCGGTGGCTCAGGTGATTGGAGCATCGTCCTGGACCAAAAGGGTTTGGTCCTTCCCGGTCAGGCACTTCCCTGCTCTCAGGCCCATCCCTGGTTGAGGTGCATTTGGGGGCAACAGGTCAATGTTTCTCGCTCACATTGATGTCTCTCTCTCTCTCTCTCTCTCAAAATCAATAAAAACAAGAAATCCTTGGGTGAGGATTAAGGCCGGGGTGGCTCAGTGGTTGAGCACTAACCTGTGAACCAGGAGGTGGCAGTTGGATTCCTGCTCAGGGCACAGGCCCGGGTTGTGGGCTTGATCCCCAGTGGGGGGCGTGCAGGAGGCAGCCGATCAGTGATTCTCTCTCATCACTCATGTTTCTATCTCTCCCTCCCTTTCTCTCTGAAATCAATAAAAATATATTAAAACAGATAATTAAAAGCAATAAGCACCTCTCCTTATGTGAGCTCCCATGTAGCTCCCCCCAACGCTCCCCGCCTCTGGGAGCCTCCAGGAGAAGGCGCTGCAGAACCCGGACCTGCCCACATGGCTTCCGGCCTAGAGAGGCCCTTCTGCTGAGGGTTCCTGTTACTTCATGTGTGTGTGTGTGGGGGGGGTAGAAGGGGGATGAAGGAGTGCAGGGGGCACCCCAGAAGCACCCACTAACCTGCCGTGACTCCCGGGGCCTGTGGGGCTTCTCACGATGGGCACCCACCAGGGAGGAGCCATCAGACTCCCGCAGGCCCTCGGCCCCACGACCGGGAGGCGCTGACATCGCTGCTCCCTGAGGAGCAGGGGGACACCCTGCACCGGGGACTCCGTGCCGCGCTCCCCACCAGGGAGAACCCTCAGGGCATCCCATGCGGATCACCAGCACCGTGTGCTCAGCCACCAGCCTCCCCGGGAGGAGCGGCCCAGGGCCAGACCGCTGAGCGCCGCGGGCGCCCGCCTGGAACAGCCGAAGGACTGGGTGCCTGCACGTGGCAGAACCAATGGACACTGACCGCAGGGGCTGGGACAGGTCGATGGGGGAAGGAGACATATGTAACACTTTTAACAATAAAGGATTTATTGAAAAAAAGAATCAAGTCCTGGCTGGTTTGGCTCAGTGGCTAGAGCGACAGCCTGTGGACTGAAGGGGATCCCAGATTCAATTCCAGTCAAGGGTACATGCCCGGGTTGCGGGTTCCATGCCCAGTAGGGGGCGTGCAGGAGGAGCTGATCAATGATTCTCTCTCTTATCTGATGTTTCTCTCCCTCTCCCTTCCTCTCTGAAATCAATAAACATATTAAAAAATAAAATAACTCTTCCTAAAATAAAAAAGAATCCATTATAGCCTCAGGTCTAGTTGAGGCAGAATGAGTTTCTCCCTAATAATGTGCTTATGTTGAGTCTTCTTTTTTTTTTTTTAACCCTTACCCGAGGATATTTTCCCATTGATTTTTCTCTTCTTTTCTCTCTCTCTCTCTCTCTCTCTCTCTCTCTCTCTCTCTCTTATTTTTATTTATTTATTTATTTGTTTATTTATTTATTTATTTATTTATTTATTTATTTATTTTTCCCCATTAATTTTTAGAGAGAGTGGCAGAGAGAGGGAAAGACAGAAACATTGATGTCAAAGAAACACATCGATTGTTTGTCTCCTGCACGAGCCCCAACCAGGGCCTGGGCCAGGCAGGAGCCTGCAACCCAGGCATGTGCCCTTGAAGGAATGGAAGCCGGGACCCTCCGGTCTGCAGGCCGACGCTCTATCCACTGAGCCACACCGGCGGGGGCGGATGTTGAGTCCTGGATAGAGGCTGTGGCTGAGCCAGTCCCTGGCTCTGTGATAGACATGCTGAGCTCCACGCAGAGCATGTGCCCCCAAGCTCGACCCGGGGGGCAGCCTTGGACACTGTCAGACCCCAGGTCCCACTCGGGGTGGCTGCACCCAGGGGGAAGGAGAGAGCCTTCAGGATGCCTTTGCTCCAGGCTCCTCCCAGGAGGCCTCCTGACAAGAGCAGGAAGCCCTGCAGCCATATGCAAATGTGGACCCGCCCAGGAGTGGTATCCCTCGAAGATGGACACTGGGCGGTGGAGTCCAGCAGGCCCATGCCCAGCCCGCGGCCTCCAGGCTGGGCCAGGTGTCCCCGGGGGACCAGCGCTGCACCCACTCTTGGGTCGGCTTTCCCTTCCCTGTTTCATCCTCAGGGTCTTTCCGTTCCTGTTTCCTGAGCTCCTAGTCCAGGGGTGGGCAAACGTTTTGACTCGAGGGCCACAATGGGTTCTTAAACTGGACCGAGGGCCGGAACAAAAGCATGGATGGAGTGTTTGTGTGAACTAATATAAATTCAAAGTAAACATCATTACATAAAAGGGCATGGTCTTTTTTTTTTTTTAGTTTTATTCATTTCAAACAGGCCGAGGGCAGTAGTTTGCCCACGGCCGTCCTAGTCCCTCCTGCCTCTCAGGAATGTCCTATTCGTGTTACACATTTTATTTATTGACAACCAATCCCTCTCAACCGACTAACACAAAAGTCCCACCTTGATTCCTTTTATTTCTTTTTTAAAAAATTTTGTTATTGATTTTTTACAGAGAGGAAGGGACAGGCATAGAGATTTAGTAACATCGATGAGAGAGAAACATCGATCAGCTGCCTCCTGCACATCCCTACTGGGATGTGCCTGCAACCAAGGTACATGCCCTTGACCAGAATCAAACCGGGGACCCTTCAGTCGGCAGGCCGATGCTCTCTCCACTGAGCCAAACTGGTTAGGGCTGATTCCTTTTATTTCTTAAACATATTTCTTAAATTGATTTCAGAGAGGATGGTGGAATGCGGTGACCCACAGAGACCACCACCAGGGACTCAGATCAAAATTTAGGAGCCTTTATGAAGCTGGCCAGTGATGACAGTTACAGCACCCTGCTGAAGCAGAGGCTGAACTGCAGTGCTGACTACAGGAGTCACGTTTTATTATTAAATTCTGTGGAGGCCCAGAGAAAAATGTGTCTTTCAAATTCTGGGCCCCCAACATGGAGGAAACTCTCTTTAATTTTACTTTTTCCAGTTCTTTGTCTCCCAAATTTGGAATGAGACTTCCGGGCCTTCTGAGAAAGAAGGCCTGCATGCTGGGAGGGGGCCATGAGACCATATCTCAAGGCCTGGCCTGACGTCACCACCTTCTTATCTGTGTGTTCGAAGACAGCGTGCCCCGCCTGGCGGAAGTGCCAGATATGCAGCCCAGCACGATGGGAGAAGGAGAGAGAGAGACCAACTTCAATGATGAGACAGACCAGCGGCCTCCTGCACGCCCCACACGGGGATGGAGCCAGCAACCCAGGCCTGTGCCCTGATGGGAACCCAACCAAGACCTCCTGCTTCATAGGTCAATACTCAACCCCTGAGCCTCTCCAGCCGGGCTTGATTCCTCTGAGAAGCTAGAACCAGAACAGACAGATCCTTAGAAATAGAAAGCAGATCAGCGTTCACAGGGGATGGAAGGAGGGAGGAAGGAGAGGTGACTTCATGGGCACAGGGTGTGATTCCGGGTTCATGAAAAGGGGTGTGTGTGTGTGTGTGTGTGTGTGTGTATTGAATTTCCATTTCCAACAAGTTCCCAGCGGTTGTGAGGATAATGGTCTGGGGCTCACACTTTGAGAACCACTCTGTTAAAGCTTCCTGGGGAGCTGTCAGATTTTCCCCTTTTGATCAGGACTCCCCTAGAATCTTCTTTAAAAAAACTTTTTATATTAATTTCAGAGAGGAAGGGAGAGGGAGATAGAAACTGCTGAGCCAGCTCAACCAAGTTTGGGAGCCTGAGAGGGGGCGGTGAAGGATGGAGAAAAGACCGACAAGAGAAGAAAGCTGGGTCTGGGTGGGACGCTGTCCCCTCTGATGGAGAGCTAGCGACAGCGCCACGGCCTGCAAGCCGAGTCCTTATTTTATAGCAGATTCCACGAGGCAAAGTAAGGGCGTGGTGACAACGTTCTCACGGGATTCGAATCCACTCAGTTACAGGCACCTGATCAAGCTTTGTTACCGCACCTCCCGCAGCCCACATCACTCAGCCACGTGGCCCACAGGCTCGGACCATCAGGCCAAGCTCACAACCATAGCCTTTGGCTGTCATGGTGCCGGGAGGGCTTTGCCACGAGAGGACCAAGCCCTCTCATTAGTCCGAGGCTTGACCCTGTCCAAACGCGG